GTATGAAGCAAAGAACACCATCCCCACAGTCAGGCACAGAGGTGGAAACATTATGCTTGGGGATGTTTTTCTGCCAAGGGTACAGGACAACTTCACTTCATTGATGGTCCAATGAACAAGGCCATGTACTGTAAAATCATGGAAAAGAACCACCTTCCCTCAACCAGGACACTGAAGATGAGTCGTGGGTGGGTCTTCCAGCATGACAATGACCCAAAACATTCTGTCAAGGCAACAAAGGAGGGGCTAAAGACGCATATTAAGGTCATGGAGTGGCCTAGCCAGACTCCCCCACTGTCAAGTCCTGCTTTCCACCATGTAACTACTTCAGTTTGTTTCACAACACCACTTGCTCTTCCTGTCTTAACTAGTGATCACTCCAGCAGTGCTGTAAATGGTTTTCCATTTGGGTGGTACATCACCAGCTGCTAATATCTCCTTTGTAGCCTCGTAGTACATATCGACTATGTTTTTGCCTCAAGTGGTGAAACACGTTTGACTCTTTCAGTTTTCTTGTATCTTTTGCAAAGATGTTGGAGGCTGTTGAAGTAGCCCCATGTTTAGGCACCAAATTGTCATCAGAGGCTGACGCACAACTCTTGCTCTTGCGTAATATTATCTGACACAATATATGTGGTATAGCCATAGCATGAAAACATTCATCATTTAATATACTAGTTGTTTAACTTCTATATCGGTAATATTCATTAATTTTTTTTTTAAAAAGTACTTCATGACCGACAAACTCAATGCTTGAAATATATAGAAAATGGTGGTAACCCAACAGCAGCATGTATTTAATTTAAGACTATTCTTCCTCAAGTAAACGAGTTGCACATGCAGAAAAGGCAGCAGGAGGGAAATTAGAGAAAGTGTGACATCACTGTTGGTGTTTCCAATATACTGAGAGGAATCTCTTAAGGCGTATGGTCACACATGCACAAGTCTCAACTTCCCCCACATAATCCAAACCACAGCAATGCAAAAGTTTCAACTTCCCCATCAAAGCATAGGTCTTCCCCAACACTCCTTCAAACCACAGCCAGCTATTTCAGGATCACAGAAATGTCTGAAGAAAAACTGTTTTGAATCTACTACCACAGGGACGTGTTACCCGTAAGGCACACAAGGTCACCGTTTACATCATTAAAGCAGAAGGGAACTCAACTCGCATAGTCAGCAAAGTGCTGCAAACAGAATGATATGCATTTGTGGCGGAGGTGGGGGCACAACATGGGAGTCCTAGCAGGTTAGCATAAACTTAACTTTCAAAATAAGAGTGAAGGGACTGTCCACAAATTTAAAAGAATAAAAATTAAAAAAAAAAAATATGAGTCAGAAAATATACCAGTTAATTTACTTGGGCAGGCCACCTAATCAACTCTATGTGTAGTAAATGCCATGATAAACCATCATCCTTCCCCTTTTTCTAAAAACCTCAAGTAGGGTTCCACCGCTGGCGTTATGTTTGCGAGTGGGCAACAAATAAGAGCCAATATTGGCCTATACCAGATATATCAATATCAGTAAACTTGCTGTTTGGGCAATTTTGAAATCTTATTGATTTACATACAGACAAGCGATGTGTTTTGGGTCTTCTTGTAAGACAGAGGTAACCTTTCGCTGTTAAAATTCAGACCCCGTTTTGTTGCTGACTGCTTGAGGGCTTTTGGGTTGTTGTTTTTTGTTAAAAATCGCTCATATTTTCTTGGCCTGCTTTGCTTTAAAATTCAGAAGAGACATTTATATTTATATACGGCCTATGTGAATATATGTTACACGTGTTTAGAGCAGCTCATATACATCTCCATACTTACTTCACCTGCCTTATCAGCACGGGTTTAAAAAACAAAACAAAACACCAAAGGCTACGTTCACACTGCAGGCGAAAGCACATCAAATCCGACTTTTTTGACCCTATGCGACCCATATCTGATCATGGTAT